ATTTTTTTTTTTCATCTCTTGTCCTACCGCAAAATTTCCTCCTCTTTTTTTTTTTTTTTCTTTGACAACTCGCAAACATGACTGGATGCAAAGATAGCGCGAGTCTTAATCGAAGATCGAGGTGATTGAATTTAAAATAAGGGAAACACGTGTTCGACACGGTTGCGACTCAATTAACGGCGGTTAAAGGTTCGATCGTGAATGGAATGTCGGCGGCCAGCCACGGCTTGTGCCTGTGTCGCGATTGCTGGTCTGGAAAATTTTCCAGTAACCCAGTGACACCGTGCCGCGAGACCTTCGTCAGGTTGTTCCCATCCGCGCAACACTCGTTTGCCAATGATACGATCTCAAGGGTATTAACTTAATCTGCTGGCGTGACCGGGGACACGCGTAGAATGCCGATCTTCTTCCTTTTCTTGCCTTTCCTACGCATCCACAAATTTCTTTATCTATCCAGGAAAAGATGTATGGCGTATTTTATCCTGAAAAGAATTTGATCTATGTTCAATTTCAATTTTTAATAGACAGTATTATGCGTAAAAAAAAAAGTATAAGTGTACTTTTTAAGAATTGTAAAATTACATTGTCAGGATATAACTGGTATTCAAGTAATAAACACTTTCTTCATTCATTCCACATTTTTTCTTCTAATTGCCTATTAATTATGTCTTTTTGAATATTGTTCTCCTTTCTATACTTGAAGATTCCATTAGCAAGAGGCTAATAGTAAACTCACTTTTTTCTTTGAATATTTCTCATATCTTCATTTGTTTAGAAATTGTAATATATATCTTTATAACATCTTTCAATCACTTCATACAGAAGTTTATAAAGATCTCTCTCTGACTCTTTCTCACTTTTACATTTTCTCTAACTGTTCACATCATACCTTTTCTATCATTTGGATTTCTATCATTCCATCTGCAAGAGAGCAAATTCTTTTCTCAAAGAAAAGTCTCATTTTTTTCAATATCAACTTTATCATGACCATAAAGAATCTCTTTCTTGGCATTCTTTTCCATTGACTGTTCTATAGAGTTGGATCGCTGGAACGATTTTCGATGAAGAACTTTCGACAAAGAATCTCTCAAATCTATGATCTCGAGAAAGGAATGGAGGCGTCACGTATCGACATGCAGCGATTGACGAAAGGTTCCGCCACTTCTCACAGTGTCACTGGGTTACTGGATAATTTTCCAGGCGAGTAAGCGCGCCGCGTGAGAGCGAATCCGAGCTAGGTGCATTGCGGCAACGCGATTCGCTCGAACGTGCCTCGATACCGGGGCACGAGAGCCTCGTAAACTATTTGCGTGATCATAAAAATCCTACGGAACATTAGCAACCCGTTTACTCGTTTCGATATCGAGAACGTCACGCGCGGTTAATTGCCGGCGAACCCCGCATCCGCCATGTTTTTTTACGCTTACCATCGATTTTATTCCTTTTCCTCGGGTTCATAATAACGTCTGAGAAAACTTTGTGACGAATATCTGATGTATCGATAATCGATCTATCTCTTTGTTCGAATCTCAATTCCAATTAATTTATTACACCACGCAGAAAAAAGAAAATTCCACGGATCGTGATCATTTTCAAGAATCCAAAAATTAGATCAAAAGTCACGTACGAGTGATCGCAGATCTCACATTAATGAATGGCCGATTAAATCTTCCATTATCCCATCTCACCTGTAAAAAATCCATATTTCAGTTAATCTATTATACGATAAAAAGAATTCCAAGGATAATAATCATTCCGAAATTCCGAAAATTAGATCAAAAATCACGTACGAGTGATCGCAGATCTCACATTAATGAATCGCCGATTAAATCTTCCATTATCCCATCTCCCCTGTAAAAAATCAATATTTCAGTTAATCTATTATACGATAAAAAGAATTCCAAGGATAATAATCATTCCGAAATTTCGAAAATTAGATCAAAAGTCACGCACGAATGATCGCAGATCGAAAGATAATTCGATCGACAAACGGTTTAACAGAGGCCGTTTAAAAGTCAAAGTAATCAGAATGCCTAGAATCTCGAGATTCCCGTGACCGCATAGAGCATGTTAGACGCGAATTAATAGGTCTCATCGAGCTTCCGTTTCTATCCGTATCGCGGTAAAAAAGCCACTATAGAGAAACTAAGCGAACCGATTACGAACCGATTGAGAGAGAGAGAGAGAAAGAGAGAGGATCGTCATCGAATAGCGCGATTGGCCGCAGGGCATGGGATCGCTTTAATCGGTAACTCTCTCGGCTGGTAAATAAATAACATTGTATTACACCGTCGCAGGCCTCCGCATCTCACGGAAGACGAACGAACGCTCGCTTCGTTTTCCCAGGCGTTGCACTCCCGTTATCGTTATCCTCTCTCACGTATATACGAATCGGCACAGGCATATACGATTCAGCCTCACGAACCAGCGCCGTTCACGGCGCTAACGGTGATCGATTTTCCGGCCACGGGAATTGTGCTCGTTCGTCTCGACATTGGCGTGGCTGATCTACGAGAATTTCTGACGTAAAGAGATATTTCGTGAAGAGATGTTTCGTAAGAGAGAATGAATTGGATTGGAAGGTTTGGATTGAAAGAAGATATTGGAGATGTCAGGGATCGAGAGAGTTTAATCCTTTGCGAACGAGTGCTATTTCAAGTTTTGATTCTTTGCAGATCTGGGATATTCTACGTACGTGAAACGAGGAGAAGTTTAGAAAGAAGAAAAAATATATATTTTTATGAGAAGTTTGATTACTACTAATTGAACATTTTATGTGAAACTTAATTTAATTTTATTTAACTATAATTTTGACGCTGTTGTAACGACAGCATTCATCCGCAAAGGAATAATGTTATATATTTGAATAGTAATAAAATAATAGAATTATTATCGTCTACGATTCGCAACGATAATAAAATATGAATATATTGTCAAGATTTTTACCTCGAGATCGAATATAATTGACGATACTTAAAATCGAAGCTTCTCGGATATGGATACTCGATTCCTTATTTAAAATGTCCCCTATATTAAGAATTAAAAACTAATTTCCCTTAAGTAAGGTTTGCGCATCGGTTGAGTATTAAAACGGACGAGCATTTTTCCATGAAGAAATGAGTATCGATAACGGTGCCGTTTCCCTCGTCTCCTCCTCCTTATTCGCCTCTTCAATAAACAACTTCCTCTCCTCTCTATCTTCGAAACCAAATCTTTCCAATTCACAAGTTTCCACTTTCGTTTCTTTTTAGATTAAAAAACGTACGAAGAAATTTTGAAATTTTAAGAAAACCATCCTTTGGTCTTTTCTCTATTTTATCATTTCTTTACTTTTTTTCTATTTTCATTTTTTTTTTCTTCATCCAAGAATTTCCTAATTCACAGATTTCCATTTTCGATCCACAAAAATAAAGAATCGTACTGTATTTGGAATATAAAATCCTTCAAGAGAGGGCTTCTCTTCGGTTCTTTTCCATCCCTCTTTTTTTATTCTTTTTCCTTTCCATCTGCGTTCGACAGAAAACGATAGTACGAGGCTCGATCGTTTCGCCGGTGGAAATTGTGCGTTGCCGGTACGTTGGCGAAACGGAAACGAAGGGCCGCAATTATACTAGTCGTTACTTTTCTCGGTGTAACCAGAGTGACTATGTATCTCGCGGTCGATTAACTGTGACCTTCGCCGCTCTAGAGAACGTAGAAACTCGGACGGACCGCTCGTACGCGCACGTCGTAGTGCCTCCTTCTATTTATGTACAGGGTGGTCCGACTACCTCGGTGCCGGACTGCCGTTTCGAATTTGTACACCACCATGTAACTCGTGTTTCAACCATGTTCGAGATAATGGCAAACACGTACGTGGTGTAGATAATTGAATATCGTGATCGATGAGAAACGGTCTTGCTAATTTCTCCAATTTCGATCCTACTGTATCTATGTAGAATAGATCAAGGTTAATTCTAAGCTGCGAATAAGATAGTTGTTCTTATAAGATAAAGAGTTTGTTTTTTTTGTTTATGAATCTAAAATATTAATGAATAAAAATTAAAAAGATGATAATTTTTTTATTTATGTATGAAAGTTTAATTCGAAAGCAGAAAAATTTGTTTTACCTGTGTTGTTTCTAGAAATTGGCATCAGTAATCTTCTCATAATTGTAATTCAAAGTCGATCTTCAAGGAATCGAATTATTCTCTTCACGAAAGTATCGACCACCAAGAACCGTTTTCCAAGATATCGTCGAACAGAACGGAATTAATTACCTCGATCGAGGAATCACTGTAATAATCCTGTATGCGATCGAGGTCAGCCCGGGTGAAAAAGCTCGCGTATCGAACCGGTGCAATTATATTTGCAAATACGCGAGTCCCTCGCATGCGTGGCAATGCAAATCGTGCAGAGACCTTTGACTGCTCGCGCCATCCTGAAAATAAACGATACGAACCCGTTGATTCGAGAAACGAATTATCAATTATGTTGATCAGTTGCAAAACCAAATACATATTCCATTCTATCATTTTATCATAAATATATTCAACCATCAATATTCCTACTAATTAAAAAAATTCATGCTCTGAAGTATTGTTTAACAATCTTTCTCATCATCAAAAAACACCATATACCGAAGTTCTTCTCAAACACTTAATAAGAAGTTTAATAACCTCTTTCATTGCCAAATGTGTAGATTTATGCATCTTTTTAATCTTCTAATCATTCAATAACGTCTATTCTAACTCAAAAAACATTTTTCAATGATATTTCTTATCACCAAAAAACATAACCACACTTTCAAGCTTGTGCATTTCTCGAGTGTTCTATTCTATTTTATTACTTCGAAAAATTTACTTTATCACCATTTAACAATTTCCTTACACGAAAAAACAACACACACTTAAGTTCGTGCATATCATTTCCTTTTTACATCAAAGAAATCAACTTTTTATATCAAGATCAGGATGTGCTTTTAAACGCTAAGGCTAATCGGTACACGAGCGCCAAAAGGAGAAGTGCAAAGTGATGCAAATACTTTCTGATACCTTCTATCGGTATCTATTTGAACGTGTACCTTCCTCGTTATCCGTTGCCGCGAAACAGACGTTGACCGCAACACCTGCGGAAATCACGAAGGATCGCGATTGAGCTGGTTACGCAACTATAGGGGCCTTAGAGGAACGTGATGGCTCGAAATCAATTAGGGATATACGTTGCACCGGCGCCAATTAAGTTTTCTCCGGGCGACAATGATAAATTGTGCCGGTCGTCTATTGCGCTCAGTCGATTATAAAGGTCACCGAGTGAAAGTGCGCGCCGGTTAATTAATACCGATCGATACCGTGCTTGATCCGCTACGATAATAATTACCCGTGCGAAGGTATGCGCGAAAATTTCATCATTGAGATCGAATCGAACTACGCAATCGATACGTGACGATTTTCATCGATAACGTTCGCCATCTTGCTTACTACTCTCTTCTAGAAGATTTTGAGAGGTTTGTGAAAATAGAAGTTACAAAGTGGAATTAAATATAATTACTATAATTTATATAAAATGAATATTATAATTATAGAAAATTATAGAGTTATATATGTAATTTAAAAAATCCTAGTGTTGATTGTATTACATAGTGATGTGCATAGTGATTTGTTATAATTTATTTCGAGAAAGATTCAAGATTTATATTTTGTCAGGATCTGTCATCGAAGGAAAAAGATAATGACAAAGGGCTTCTTGATTGTGTAGAAAAAAGAATTTATCCAATAAGATGATGACAGAATGAAATTGCACTAGCCTAAAAAGGAAAGGAAGAGGAATGATGGTTGGTTGCGCGTGCTAAATATGATATCTGCATACAGAGTGTTTCAAACTTGGATATACAAATTTTAAGGGTATTCTTTCTTATTCATTATTCCATTTATATTTATATTTTCTTATGAAGCGACACAAGAGAGCAATTTTCAAAACTTGATTAACTGATATGCATGTTCAAATTTAGACATGTTAGAGATAGAGATAGAGTATCTATTATGCATATTCATGAACTGTAGAAATAAATCATGATTCAAATAAGGTTGAGAAGCACTGATTTAAGTCTTCCAATGTTTGATCACGGGGAAAAAAAACCAAATGCAGTCGAAGTTGTTGGAATTCGGGGTTTTTCACGGTGGACAGGGGGCAAACCGAGCAGAGCGAAGTGATTTGGGTTGTCGATTGCAACAATGCGCTTTTGTACAGCTTGTGCAGCTCGAGGAGCAAAGACATGGTCGACGTGCGGTCGAAAGATAGCTGGATACTCGCCTACGTGCACGTGCCATGCAGTTGGACTCTTTCGTTCCGTACCATTTGTTGTTACATTTTCCCCCTTCGACAACCTGGATCTACTTTGAATGTCCCTTTGAACACCTCTGGACTCGCGACTCGTTACCGTTACGCGGCTTCGCAGCGTATTTGCTCCTTCCTCCTGATTTGAATTTATCGGTTTTATTGGAATGGCGATGAGCCTTCCACCAGCAACTTTTCCATATGTAAATACATATCACGATTAGAATTCCTCTCGAGTAAAAATACCAACTCGGTGTAGCAGAATATTCACTTTTGTCATTTTTGTCATCTGTATCGCAAAATTGTTGCAAATATGAAACTTGTAACAATTTAACTTTTTTCAAAGATCTATTTACGTACCCGAAAAATAAATAATTGAAAGTATGAATTTCTTTTGACAATTTTTAATTTTGTAAATTGTAAAATTGTAAAAATCGATCTTGTATTGGCTTCAGAATTTTTTTTACGAGCAAATATATATATATATATACAGGTTCCAAGGATACCAAACATAATTTCGAACAGGAAAGAAAGATTTTACAGCTCGATTTTTCCATGTGGCCGAGCCCCAAGCTACACTCTTCCCACGAATTTCATTCTCGATAAGCGGACAAGATTTAACTAAGATCAACGTATTAGTACGGGTGAGTAGCATAACATGGTGGAGAACGGTACATGAGACCGCGACAAAGGCCGAGGAGGTAACTTATGGGTATGAACTCTGCAAAAGGACTTCCTGTATGACCTCTGATCGGGAAACAAGGCCGTGGCCACGAGCTAACTCGTTCCAGACACTGCAAATGCGGAATATTCTCACCGTGCTCCTTTATTTTGCTCGTTATGGTCGGTCACGACAGAAAAACTTTGCGAAAAACTGCAATTACCCATATTAAGTATCTACTTGCTAACTGCATCATACATTTCTCTTCGAGAATCTTCGAATAATTTCATTATTTTCTAACTTGCCAGGTTTTTCATTCTTACTTAATTCACACTTAACTTAATACTCCTTCAAAAAGGAGGAAATTCAATTTTCAAGAAATTTTTACTCTGCTAAAATTACTTGCTTGACTCTTCACATTCAAAGAACAAAACTTAATACTCAACTTCCAAAAAATTCTAATTCTAAATTCTCCGTCAAATTTTATTTTCATTTGATTTACATCTAAATTCATTTACCTGTCCACAGCCAAAGAAGATTTAATTTTCGACCTCCAAGAGTTTCAAATTCCAATTCGTCAAATTTTACTTCGAATTCGTACTGATTCGCTACTGGTCGCACAATTTTTTGAAGAAAATTTAACTTTCAACGTGTTGAGAAGCGGCACGCGCGACAGTTCACCAAAATGGCCAAAGAGGACTTGGCGAGGGATCGAGTAGGGGGGAACCACTTTGCTTGGCAATCGCGTCACGCTCGTTTACGCTAGTTTACGCCAGTTTACACAAGCGATATTACGTTAAGACCTATCTTTATGAGAACCGACAACGTCCCATGGGGAAATATCCCGGGGTTTCAACGTTATTGGTGGACAAGAAAAAGGGAGATGAAGAAAGATGAACGCCGGTGTTACCGGTGAAGAAAGACGAAAGCTGCGTGTTCGGTGCAAAGCGAATCCCAAAGCGAAGAAGTGTTTCCTTCGAGAGACGATCGTGGCTAAGATATGACGTCCGACTGGCTGCCAGGCTTGAAGGGCTTCGCAAACGATCGGTCGTTGAACCACGAATCGTTCTTCAAGCGTTACTCTCCCCGGAGGTGGGACGTGCAAATTTCACTGGCCGACATTTGCCTGTCTGGAATTTGAGCCTCCTTCTCCTCTAAGCTATTTCGAGCTTGTAGTCTCGTAGCTTTAGGAATTTGTCGAGGATATTTCTCACTGTGCAAATTTTGAGGCACCGTCGTTCCACAAATTTTCTTCGATTTTACGCCCGCCTCGCGTCAAATTTTATCTCGAAATATATCCTCGACTTTTTTTCGAAACAACATTTCTTCGGATTCTTCTTTTCTATAGAAAGAATTTTATATCTAGAAATAAAATCGTAAACAATTTTTTTGAATCCATTTTAAAATAATTGCGTAAAATTACTATTGTTATTATCGAATTTTGCAACCACGATCCCCATGTAAAAATTCCTATTGTATTTCCTATTGTATGGGAATCGAAGAGGTGATGACAAAGGGGATACGATTAAAAGATACGTTAAATGGGAAAAAGCGTCAGCTGCGATCAATTTTCGCGGTAGACGCGCGAATCCTACGCCATTGCGGGGTAAGACAGAGCGACGAGGAGGAACAAAGCGACCCACGCTGCGGGTATCATCATAGTCATATTCATACACGGAGCGTAAGGGCATTTCAGCACTGGGACAATGGCGGGGCCGAATTTTTTCTTTTTTTTCTTCAAGGCTCGATTGCACCGTGCCTTCTTTGTAGCCACGCGACGACGTCGACTGCCAATAAAGGTGCCTCCTTTATGAAGCCTTCTGCAGCTGCCCCAACGGAAACGGGCCACTCTAACCGTTCTTTGTTTTCGAAATCTTTCAAACGTTCCCTCCCTCTAAATTCTTTTCTGTTGCAATCTTGAAAATGTTTCCACGCGTTTCGAGGATTCGTCGCATTCCGAGGCCGACGGTTTGAAAGTCGAGAACAATGTAAAGCAAAAGGATAAAGGGAAAGCAAAGGCACGGAATTATTTGAAAATAAAAATAAGGTATTTTAACAAAAATTATAAAATGTAAGAAATTTTCACAATTTATTTTATAAAATTATAAGATCTACAGAGTGCTAATATATTCGTGCAACATTAAAATAGATGCAAAATTTGCTTATAAAACTATGGTTTTATGTGAAATAAAATTATCGCGAGTATGATTGTTCAAATATAATAAATATTATACTTTGAATATTTTATATTTTTTGGAAATTTTTATAAATGCATAAATATTCTATTTAGAATCTGTAGAATTGAGCTTTCAAAAGTATTCCATGAATATATTAATACTCTATATAGCGTTTAATTTTTAAGAAAATGCACCATTAAACTTCTGATTTGTTAAACATTCAAAATTATAATTTTAGAATGTAGAGAGATAAAAAAAAGAAAATATCGAACAAATCTTTAGATTTTGAGAATAAGTTAAAGGATTGCTGTCTTCTACATTTTCATGCAAAATATCGTTTCGTACGAAATATATTTTCCATTTCGATTTTTTTTATCGCGAGAAGTAAATCCAGAGGGCTTGATTCAGCGAGATTCTGTGGACGGAGGAAGTTTGGTTGGCGCGTCTTCAGCATGATAAACGGTGGCAGGTACAACAATGGGTTCATTACCGAAAGTTTAGCCCGGCTTGGGCCCCCTTGGCGAATCCTGGGCCGGCAAAGGGGTCCGGGTCGGTGACCTCTGCACACGGATGGCCGGCTCGCGGCACCGACCTTTGCGAAAAGTACACGTGCACTGAGCAAACGTTCCTTCTAACATGCGAGAAACCTTCTTGGAAATTATTTGTTTAAAATTCGTATTGAAATACACGCGAAAAATTGTATATATATAAAAATTGCGATTTGGAAATTAAATTATTTTCGAAATTGTGTTTCACAAATCTTAAATTAACTCTCTTTCTTGCACAACGAGAGCAAGAATCGCGGGATACAATTTTCTTTTCGTCACGCGTTACGGTAAGGGGCGATACGTAAAAGAAAATATTGGAATTAATGATTCCAAGTTGTTTCTGAAACTCGTGCCAATTTCAAATTGCCTTTCGACGAACTCGTAAGGTGTAATTTTCTTTTCGTTACAGGCCGTGGTAGCAACATAGTCGCAGAAAAAAAATAAACGTATGCACGTCCATTGTGCGGGCACGCACGACGCAGAAGGGTTTTTGTTCCAACGTGTGGCGTACCACGCTCGGCAGCTCGTGTCATTCGCACGACGTCGTGACCTTCTTGCAATAAAAGACCGCGAAAGCTGCAAAACTCGGTTTCTTTTCACTCTCGACGAAAATATCCCGTTGAAAAGAAATTCTTGGAACTGTAGTTCAAACTTTCCTTGGAATCCCCTTTGCGGATCCTTCGCACCGTGAACAGAATTCACTTAGAAAAATTCCCTATATTTTCAAACCGAGTTATTCTTCGTCGCGTAAAAATCGGTACAATTTAAATTTAGAACAATCATCGATGGGGTCCTCGATAAGGTTTCAACCATCCTTCTCTCGTCCGCCTTCGAGAAGGGAAAAAAAGAAAAATGGACAGTTTCGATTTAACATCGAGCATAAAATTAATGATCGTTTACGATTATTAATAGCCACGGTAAGACCTCGACCGCATGAATTTCGCACGGTTATCGTGCCTCAACTTCGGCTCTTGTAATTGCCGCGTACCGTCCCGAGTGATAAATAATTTGCAAATATACCGCAACCGACAACATTGTACATAGGGGCGGCATCGATACAGCCACCGCAAGATTTATCGTTTATTCGTTCGAATTGCCGTTTCGCGAACCGGCGACCTTGAATCCCTTTGTCTTGCTTCTTTTCTACGCACACCGCTCTATTAGTCCCTACTCTCGTGGACAATCAAATCGCGTACTATCGTTTCCATCTGATAAGATTTATTGCCTCGGTTTGTCGAGGATAAACGTTGTTTAAACTTGGCTCGTTTAAGTTGCAACCACTGACGAAACTTGTTTGTTATATAGGGAGCATGAAAAAATAAAAGTGGAGAAGCGTGTACACTCTCTCTTTGTATCGAAACCAATCTTATTTTATTTCATTTTATTTTTATTTTTCTTTTGAGACCGGAACGATTCCTCGTTGAATGGAAGATAACGGAGATTCGAGAGATGGAGGAGGATGGACGAAGGAGGGGAGAGAGATGCTATTGACCCGTTTGATTGATTAAAACGTCGAGCTCGTCGCAGTTGTTCGATCGCTAAATGAATTTCGTTCGCCGCGCCAGCCAGGTATACAAAGCGGCGCTTTAAATCTTCGGGGCTTAATAATCAGTCTGAAGGCTCGTAACTCTTCCCAGTGTATTCTTCGTCTCTAGAAACCGAGAGACGTTGGAGGCGATGGGCGAGAATGAAACGACGACGATGGCGAGGGCGTGTTGTGGTAGTATCGATTCGAAGAAAATTCAAGGAGAAAAATCGAAACTCCAAGTGTGTGCATTAATCTATTCTCTTGTTAACGTTTTAAACCTATACATAAAAAACATTTTCACATTAGAAATAATTCACGTCGATTCGGATAAGTGGAGGCCTGCAGGCGTTATTTGCCGTTATTGAAGGCGCGTTATTGCGCCTCTGGTATTACGTGGCAATAAACGAGAGATTTTAATTACCAGTTCTATAAAACGGCGTCAATAAAGACATTGCACAGTCGGTACGGTAACCTGCTCTTCTTCTCCTTCGTTATCGGATAAATAATTCGAATAATAACCGTGAACGAATCTCTCATCTCTTTTCGCCTAGGCTTTCTCACCTCGGCATGAATCATTCCGATAACGATCCACATTCGCAAAAAGGAATCGTCGTAATTCATTATTAATTCGATCGTCATCCTCGGTCGATAATAAAGCGATCGTTTTAACGCCACGACCGCCATTAAAATTCTTGATGTTTCAATTGAATTTCAAACGGAGCGTAAAGCGCCGCAAACCATAGTACAAGCATCTCCACGACGCGTGTATATGAGCGAGTAGTATAGGGATAGTTGGTGTGTCCGTCTGGCCGTTTATTATGGCACCGAAGGAAATTACGAACGAGTCGGCCTGTGGCCATCGCGGTAGCCGATTGGTGCGCGGCAATATACGAGTGGCGGCACAATATGAACGTCAGAATCGAAAATTCGAGAAAGTTCGAGTATCCTCTCTTATAAGGATCGATTAAAGAAACCGAGTTCGAAACAAAATAAAAATTTACACGAATCTACTTAACCGCAATACTTCGAATCGTCTCTTAGGATGAAAAAAGATTCGCACTCCCGAGATATTTCGATAGTGAAAACAAACTTTCCAGAGTTTTATTCCTCGAGCATACCCTTTGCACCTTTCAGTTATCAACCTGTAGAATTACTTTAATAACCTTCGAAGAAACCCGTTCTCCTTAGCAAAACAACTTTTAACTCCCTTTAATATATTCTCATCGTTATCGTCCAGAATTCCCCAGAATTATTTTACCAACTCATCGGGATCCACTCATCTTCGCTCGTCGACAATTTCACTCTCAAAATATATTTTACACCCCCAGTTATCGGGCCCCTAAAATTATTATAACAACTCTCGATACATTCAACTGTGAAATATATTAGCGCCCCCCCGTTTATTAACCTCCATTTTCAACGGCCGGGGAATCAGCGCCATCTGCGAATACGCCATCTAGAAATTCCCCAGGAATACATTGTTTCCCACGTGAAGGAGTGGAATCGCGCAAGTATGGACGGTATCGCGGAGGGCAGGCCGCGAGATTCTCTCCATCGGCAATTTGCATGACCGATGATCGTGCACTGGTGAACACCGGCCTGGCGTGGACTAGGTGCATCGTCATTACGCACTGGCCAGATACGATCAAACTGTCGGTAATGATAGTCGCGCGACCCGGCGCACGTACGACGAACGCGAGGGTCGCGTTTATTAAATTACGTCAAATTATTGGTACGCTCGGAGGGTCGATTATCGGGGCTGCTCGTTCGACCGCCAAGAATCGTTCTCCTTTTCCCCGATTATCACGAGAAACCGGCGCGAGGTGGTAGCCGAGATCTTCATGCTCTTGGACACGGCTCTTTGCCGATCTAACCTGACACGATTCCTTGCTTCGATGCAGTGGAAGCAAAAGTGGCAAACGAGCTTGAGAAGTGGTTGGAAGGAAGATCTGAGATTTGAACTGGTTTTAAGATTTGAGGAGAGGATGGAACAGAATTTTTTTTTTTTTTTTTTTTTTTACTTTTATATCTCGTCATTGTTATTTATTTGTTCGATTATTATTTAACCTCTTTTTTTGCCGAGATCTATTTTTTTTTCTTCTGTGTCGTCGTGGAACGAGATATTAAGGATACATACGTATATCGTATCGTTTTTTAATCGATGTCTCGAGAAGAAATATATATATGTATAATTAATCATACGAACGATTTTCGATTTCAGATTCGAACCGACGAAGGATTAAAGAAGGCAAAGAGCGGTCCGGATGGGGCGTCGAGGATCTCCTAGATGTCTTCGATTAATCAAAAAACTCGTAGCTCAAGCAAGGACAGAGGGACGGATCTAGGATCCGTCGAAGATCCCACCATTTGTCCTCCTTTTTTTTTTCTTCTTCTTTTTAATCCATTGCAGCCGCGACCACCAATCGAAAAATCTGACCTTTCGAAATATCCAATTTTCGCATTGGATCGCGAGAGATCGTTAGAAACGAGGGAGGAAGAGGGGTCGCTATAGGACACCTGCGTGCTTTCCACGATCGAAACTTTGGATTCAACTTGAAGACGACGCTTGCTGGATGAAGTTACTCGAAGGAATCGAAAGTGGAAGTCGGAAGACAACGCTCACAATTCGTGATCCATGAGAAAGATCCGAGTTTTTCTAGCTTGATCAAGTAATTAAAAGTAAACGATGAAAGACGACGAAAAAGAAAATTTTGCACGAATGATCTTTAAATCCTTTTTTTTTTTTTTTTTTATAAGCTTCAAAATACTCGGAGCATGTTTCTAATGGATCACGAAAAACTGGAAGAAAATTCATACAAGAGATAACAAGAGCAGCGTTATTTTCGAAACGAGAAAATGAACGAGCAAATTCAAAATGGTCCATCGATCGATGAAACCAATGTAC